GTAGTGCATGCTCAAAAAGCAACGGGGAACATCAAACACAAAAACTAAGAGCCATCTTAAAAGCATACATCTCTGCATCCTTTCACTCAATGTCCATTTAGAGAATAAGAAGAATCAGGATGAGAAGATTTAGCATGTTTTAACTGAATGTTGTTTTTGTCCAATCCGACATCAGAACAGTTACTTCCTCAACCTTTAGTCTGTACCAACTTCATCTGAATGCTCTATTTTTTATTAATGAAGCACTTAAGCGTATTTATCCACCTACATACACCTTAACTGAGTCACAACCCAGCGTGCATCAACTCGACACAGTGCTGAGTGACACCTTTAACATCCATTCTGCTCTCCTCGACTCTCGAACCATAAATGGAATACATTAATGCACCATGATTTTTATGCAGTGCTCCTATGGAAGACATAGAGATGTGCTTCTATATCTGCCACCTCGAGAGTCCCTGCTCCCCATCACTCTCAGTCACAGCTCTTTATTGCCACATTAGTGATTTCATACGTATGCTAAGCTCTCCCTGTGGCTTAGCCATGTGCTTCCCTCAGAGAGGTGGAGCAGACGCCCAAGGGACTGAAGTGAGCAATTAGCTGCCTCTTCAAGTCCCCATGAAACAGCTAGCAGAGTGCTATTTGATTTCATGTATCTACTGTACATGTTTCCTCTCAACGCTAGTAAGGGACTTGTCTTGGATATTGATTGGCATTGCAGCCGCTAATAGCCCTGGAGTTGGCGAGTAGTAGTGTTAAAAAAAACTGATTTGATTTGTAGTTGATGGGTAGATTTTAAACTTTGATCGTGAGGGTAAAAATCTAAAGAGCGGAAGATCAGGTGAACAGCAGAGAGAGGGGCAAACAAGTCAAATTAGAATGAGAAAGTATTGAACACTAACTTGCTAGCTAGCTTGTAGGGCCTGTGCTCTGGATGGTAACTTTACATTCTCAAAGGCTTTATATGCGATTTTTTGATCCAGCAGATGTCGCCCAGCATGAAACCAAAACAACTTGCGCTGCATTGTTGTGTTAGCATGCTAATGCTAGCGATCTTTATTATGCTCGTATCTTCGCACTGCATGTAAATTTACCTGAAATGAGCGTGATCTAGAAACGCAGTTAAGCAGTGAGTACAGTATGTTATTCTTCTTTTCTCTAGTCCCTCAATTAAACAACTTTTATACATGAGGGGATGAGCCGACCGGCCGTCCTGGCGATGTAAACAAACTGAAGATAGGACTCGGAAAGCATCACAGACAGTGGGACTCGGGTGTTACACCTATTGTAGACAGTCATGACTCACAGAGTTGTTTTCAGAGGATGTACTTGATTTATATTATATTTAAGTGCACATATTACGCCTTTATGAGAGGGCTCCAAGGAAAGAAGGTTGGGATCCAATGCCCTAATCTGCCACCCCAGTCCAAAAGTCTGGCTCCGGCCCTGGCCAGAAATCTTGCTATAGTACTTATATTAACTTAGGGAACAGGCTTTTGTTCCCTATCTATTTTGATTGAAATGGGACGTGAAGGACATTTCAATCACAAGTGGTCCACAATGTCTACATTTCTTATTGTTTTTCATGGTTTACTTACTCTGAAGAAACATCCCTGCATGACTGTGTGGATCCACACACAGATGTTTTGTCTGTGACTTTCAGTCAATCCATAGCCAGATGATTTGATGCTCTCCTTCTATACGCTAACGCAGGAGATAATTCAATAGACGTGGGACCGACTGGGGCGACAGGAACGAGCCTTGTCGTCTTTCTACTGCTGCGTTTACATCCACACATCTTATGGCTCTCTGCAAGCTGTCAGCCTGCCTGTTGATCAATAGCTGCACTCGAGTGTCCTCAAAGAACACAGCGAGGGATGGAGAAATACATCAACACATAATACACAGTGTTTATTTATATTCCCAGCATGTGTGCCCTTTTCTTTAGTCCCACTGTAAACACTGTTCTGCTGATGGCACCAGTGATAAAACGAGGTGCCAGCTCTTAGTGTCTGCCTTTACTCATCACCGTGCTCTCTTTTATTCTCGCGCTGTGCGGCCGTGGAAAGCAGACATCGAGGGGCCACTCGAGAGTTGAGCTTCTTCTTCTTCTTCTTCTTCACAGTGGCCTGATAAATCCCGAGTATAAAACGACCGTGTCATGAAAGCTGCAGAGATTGGACAAGAGAGCAAGAATGTGAAATTGAAATTGAGCGCATGTACTTCAAAGGGGAAGGCCGGGATTCAATCAAGGCTGTGTTCACTGATCAACTGGAAACAAACGAGAGGATGGTTTTAGAGTATGATGTAAGAAAAGTCGGAGTATTTCCTCACTGTCTTGCATTACGTATGAAGAACTACGACGGCTGAGCGAAAACTCTTTTGTCCAAAAACAACTAATTAGAAGAGGAGAGTGATGTATTGCTGAGCCGTGATTTATTTTGAATGTGTCCTGTGCAGAATGTGAAATCCTCTCCTCAGCTGTTTGGATATAATCACTGCGTAGCTCTGGGCTATGGCTACTGCAGGCCAGAGGGTATTCTCATAATTTACCCCTTGCCACATTGTATTTGTGTTTTCCCTGACCTTGATTCAAGGTAAGCTCTCTATAATATCACAGCTTACACTTGCTAATACACTGCGGTTTGACCTCGCTCTCGTCGGACTACGCAGCTTCTGACTGGTAATGGTTATTGTTTGGAAGTCATGACCCTCGATTTAGCTCGCCCGTTTTCACCCAGGCATGAGAGCGAAGTTGACAAACAGTCACGCCTGTAAGTGGTTTTCCATTTGGACCTTTGACCTGACTACATAAATTGGACTTAACGTATAGCTGGGGCTCAGTGTTTTCTATTTTTATTCAATTCCACATCCACAAAACAAACACACATATATATAGATCTGCTAAATAGTTCCTGAAAGGCACATCATTTCTGGAAATGTGAAAATATGAAGATAAATAAAATGCTTTTAAATCTCCTCAGTTATCTCAAGAACAGCCAGGCGGTATGCTCTTTTCAGAGGTGGTATGCTCTTTTCAGAGGTGGTATGCTCTTTTCAGAGGCGGTATGCTCTTGCTCAGGTTGTCCACAATCCATCTGACTATGTGAGAGCGTAGCAGTTATGAATCTTAAAACGCTGGTTGCAAATTTATTTCCATAAAAAGCCAAATATGTAGTTGCAACTATGTATTTAAAACAAAAGAATACATCAATATAAAATGCAATTACTTTCTATTTTTCTCGGCTTTTCTTGGTTGACGGGTGTCTTGACCCGGCTCTTAAAGCCTGACAAAATCACAAGAATTGTACGTTTTATGTTAACCAAACGGTGCAAGGTTTATTACCAAAATGCCACCAAGATACCACAAAAAAAAAAAAGATGGTGCAAGTCAGGAGCTGTGGTGATGGTGCGACGCTCAGGATGGATGCGAGAGAGTGGGTGGTTGACAGCCCCGATCTTTAAATTGCCTACACCTGGGTGCCTGCCCACATCTGCCCAGGTGTGGCAGAACACCGCCCACAGCGACCTGCGGGGGACACAAACACACTGACAGAAGGGCAAAACACACTGAAATCTTCATATATTTCAGGGATTTGAACCCAGTCTCCCCGACTCTGATGAGAGAATGATTGAAGCTGCCTCTCTGTCAACTGCGGCCCATAATAGAGTCTTTAGAATTGGCTTTTAGGCTTTGTGTATGCATTATTTAACTCTGTGTGATACAGTGACCTACTATAGGAAAGGCTATTCTTAACACCAATTACCACCTTCATCTTCCCTGGAGAGACTCGGAGAATGAGGGGGCACAAGAGAGAGATTTCAATTGAGATAGATAGCAGCGGTTTATCTTACACTACTGTACCACACAGAAGCCCCCCCCCCCCAACCTTCCCTCCCCTTTGATGATGAGCAGACGATATCTCCGCTGTATTCGAGTGTGGGAGGTGGCATCCCCCTCGTCCTTCCTCCTCCTTTAGTGGTTCAATTAGAGAACTGTGTCAGGCACTCCCATGCTTCACATCACCACACACATTCAGAAACACACCAACCAGAAAACTGAACAATTTATGTCCCAGTAAAGCTGCTCTCCGGTCACAGGTTCCCATTCAACCACGTGGAGAGCTTCACACACCTAAAGGCTTGAATTAGCAACAATGGGAATATCGGTTGCTGTATTTTGTGTCACTTCTTAATGTTTCAGTATGAAACATTTTGCTCCTGTTATTTCCATTTCCATCTATATTAAAAAGTAAACAATCTTCAGGAAAGGTAAAGGGGTAATAATGGATTTGAAGTGACTAAAAATGTAAATTCTCGTTGCCGTTTTTTGTTTTGGATTTTGAAAATTTCAAAAAATGCGAGAATCGAGAGACTAATTACTTTGAGTTTTCTGTGGTTTCTTTCATCACAAGTACACTGATTTACACAACCAAGGACACCCATGTGGTCATCACTGCTTCCCTTTATCAGGGTTAAGAAGGTGGATCTCATGGGACCAGCAATGGAACAGAGGTGCCATACTAATGTTTAAGGCGTTAAAGACACTGGGAAACCATATCCACCATAGCCTTCAAACGACGTTATTTAGGGTCTTAGGTTCATTACATAACCATCTCCGTTACATGTACCGCTTTTCCCGGTCGCATGGGGGGCTGGAGCCGATCCCATCTGTCATTGGGCGAGTGGTGAGGTACACCCTGGACCGGTCAGCAGTCAATCACAGGGCTGACATATAGAGACGGACAAGCAGCCACACTCACATTCACACCTATCGACAATTTCACAGCCCATGTTCACCTTTTTTTTCAATGTGAATTTTCAAAAAAAGTAGTCCATAAAACATCTGCCTGCCGGTCTTTCTCCATGTTTGTTTACTCAAAAGACAGGTTCTTTCTACATGAATGGAATCTGTGACTGTGTGGTGTGCTGTTTAGGTCACTTTGGCGCTCTCCAAATCGAGAACAAAATTGTTAAAACTGTGTTTTTCTATTTTTCAGGCCAATCTCCATCGGCGTCAAAATTCCTCATCCTTCCCCTCCCAGTTTGACTCACCACGACCAGTCACTGTGAAACAATGAGGTATGTTAAGAATAAGGGGAGGGTTATGACTCAGGGTTGGGGGTGGTGGTGGTGGCTCTTATCAGTCCAATTAGTGCTTTAATGGCTTCAAGGTCAGGTCCTGCTGCTTTCTAAAAGACGACACATGCTTTTAACGCCCTCACAAGCTCCTCGCCTACGCACGAGGAGCTGAAAGGTGTCACCCCATATGGGGAGATTGTCTTGTTCTCTGTCTGGGTTAAAGGTCTACAGTAGCTATGATAAGACACTGTGGTCTTCTCTCAGTTACATGCATTTTTATCTCTGTCGGTTAGTTGTGTATCTGTTGTTTGGTGCAGGGCAGACGGGGTAAAGTTGGTTTGACATGGTTTGAATCACATGTCCACGATTCCTCATTGCCTACTTTTCATTTGCCACATCATACAAATTCCTCAACTTGACTGAACATTTCCTGAAATAACACCCAAAGTTCTTTCCATGCCTCATCCGTTATTCATATAATTTCTCCAGTATGACCCACGGTGGTGAGGCATACATTTCTCAGCAGTCGTCGTATTGGACTAGAGTGCCTGGATCTCGCAGTGAGAATGGTAAACACACCAGTATATGCAATATAGAGACCCATCTGCAGTGCAATATCCAGCAGTCAACGAGATGCATGCTTTACAAATGCACATAAACTTTGCATGTGCTGGTTACATTTTACACATACATGCATTTTTAGTGTACCTGCCTGTCCGTCCCATTATGCAAGGCGTGTGTGTGTGACAGGTGCAGGTAGATTTTTTTTTAATGCTTGTAGAGCGACCACGGCCTGCAGGAGAGAAAAGCGAAGAGAGGGTTGGTAGGGGAATATTAACGGCAGAATAAAATGATGGTGACAGCAGAAAATGGCAGTGGCGCTCCAACATGGTGCTTATGGATTTATTTGCTGTGTGTGACTTGCAGAGGGGAGATAGAGAGATGTGTCACTGAGAGTCTCTGGGTGACATTTTGTTATCACTCTCTCTGGTTAGGGCTCACTCACAGGAGACCTACTTTATAAAATGGCATAATGATCCCTATTTGATGCATCAGGGGTGACGCCTGTTATGACACATCATCTTTAACGTTTCATGACGTGCAATTTCTCGCAGATTATTCAACTAAACTGAATTTGAAGTGGTTGGGTGTGCTTAAATAAAAGAAAAGTAAAGTGGATTTATTTTTTTATTTTTTTTATCTAACGAGTATGATTTCCTTTTCTCAGTTAGAACTTTGATTCTAATCAGCTCCAATCTGGAAATCTGGGATGCGGTTTGGTGAACAAAAGCCAATTTTCTTCAACAAATTACTTGGAACTGGAAACAAAACCCCTTCGTTGCTTTGCCAAATTGCAAGCAGTATGAGGGGGTAAATGGGAATTCACCACAGCTACCATCCCAGCATTTGTCCCAATAGAGCAACATTTTTAAAAACTTTCCTTAAAGGTAAAGCATGTAGAATTTTATGACAATGTTTACATTCAAATATCTAAATTAATAAAAAATTGACTAAGCCTATGTTATAATTTTTTTTTGTTGAGTACTTATATTACCTGAAATATTTAAACAGTTTTCAAAGCCAGAGAAATACAGAATTCTATAATTGTCTTGCTGTTGCAGTCGCCATGATAGAGCCGCCATAACAGACACAAAAATGTTTATCGTTGCCTTGGAAACACCGGCTTCTTCGTCAAAGACCACTTCCCATTTAAGGTAATAACAAAGAGAAACACACCTAATGTTCAAGTGCAGCCTGATCTGCTGGCAGTCACCTGTCACCGATCCATGGATGATGCAGGATCATCAAAACTGTTTGTCCGATTAATGATTTATTGATCAGCTCAATCCACAAAATTTCAATCCCACACAGTTTGTAAAGCATCAGTGTTAACACGAAGGACACTATGAAAGTGGGAATGTATCACCTGTAGCTGCCATGTCCCCCGTATCTCCTGTATGGTGAGTAGAATCTTATCACAGGGCACGATAGCATGCCGGTTAAAATAAGCTCTTCTAAATTCAGCAAGTTCAAGAAAGGTTGCCTATTGATTTTTTTTTTAGTGGTACTGCATCTCATGTGCTCCTGTGATGCTTTGAAAACACCTACAAAGACGTGATTCTGTGCGTCACCTCCAGCTCTCCTTGATAGTGCATGCACACAACACAGCGTCTGCTATACAGACACCATCAGATAACAGAATTAGATGCTGAGCTCTTTTCCCATCAATTATCCGGTTGCTCTTCCATGTTTAGGCTCCTGCTGCTTCTCAGTCATCCTTTCTCCCCAACATCCTTGAGGGGGGGATAAGTTGAAATGCCATATCGATTTCTGCCATTTCTCACATTGTTGCCTTCAGTGGTTGGCTGGTTTTTGGTTGTGTTACTTTAATTCTTTCTTTTTTCCAGACTCTCTCTTTCTCACTCTCTCGCTGACTCTCTGAGGCAAAGCTTCATTGTACCTTGTCAGATGAAACAGTCTATAAAAGTAGAAAGAAGCTATGCTAACAGTTAAAAAAAACATTTCAAGTCTGGTTGGTGCGCAAAGAGTGTGAATAACTTTTAAACATAAAATTGTGAGACATCAAAGCCTTCTGGAAATGCATTTTCTAAACCCAAAGGGAATATTATTCTCCTCTTTTATTTTCCTCTCCTCTCTTTGTTCGTTTACAATTTCCACTTTTTCATCTTTATTCTCTTGGACAATGCGAAGGTATCCAGGGATTTCAGTGTCAGTGGGAGAAAATGATTGCATATTTTCAATTTTCATTCGTTTGCATTTTAAAACATTTAAAATCCCACAGCTTACCATGATTCACAACCAAACGCACTCGAACCCCAGGAGCTACTGCTGCAGTCGTATTGTCAAATTAAGTACTTATTGCTCAGATCAAAAGAAGAGTAATTATGTAAAACTTTTAAACAATGAAAATCCATTTGACAGGCTGACTTAAAATGTGTGAAAATAAACAGGTGAAAATGTGTGCAGAAAATCTTGGTAAGAAGTCAAAATAGTTAGCTAGAAGTGCCAGTTGACCTAGACGTTAGTGTATAAAGGCTTGTCCTTGAAGTGAGGGCCATGGTTAGGGTCTGTCCTGTGGCTCCTTCCCGCATGTAATTCCCCACTATCTTTCTAATTCACTTTCCCATGTGAATAAACGCACAATAGGCTCCAAAATAAATTTAAAAAAAAAAGAAAACGGTTAGACTAACAGTTGAGATTAATAGCCAGAGGTATGGAATTGGTTGTGGTAGGTAACTAAAAGTAATCCCTTAGGGGTGCCGGCTGTGTGGTTAGGGTGTGTGCCCCATGTTCAGAGGCTGTAGTCCATGAAGTGAGCGGTCCGAGTTTAAATCCGACCTTTGGCTCCTTTCCCGCAGGTCGTTCCCCACTCTCTTTTCCTAATTTCCAACGCTGTCCTGTCTCTACATGAAGGCATAAAAAGCCCAAAAATAAACCTCCAAATGTAAACACGTATAAAACTGGAAAGCAGTAACAGAAAAGCAGTTTAAGTAGTTATCTTAAAAGAAACAGAGACCGTTGAAGTAGTTAGCGTGAAAGAAACCGTTAAAGTAGTTAGCTTGAAAGAAACAGAGGCAGTTGAAGTAGTTAGCTTGAAAGAAACCGTTAAAGTAGTTAGCTTGAAAGAAACAGACAGTTGAAGTAGTTAGCTTGAAAGAAACAGACAGTTGAAGTAGTTAGCTTGAAAGAAACAGGCAGTTGAAGTAGTTAGCTTGAAAGAAACAGGCAGTTGAAGTAGTTAGCTTGAAAGAAACAGACAGTTGAAGTAGTTAGCTTGAAAGAAACAGGCAGTTGAAGTAGTTAGCTTGAAAGAAACAGAGGCAGTTGAAGTAGTTGGCTTGAAAGAAACAGGCAGTTGCAGTAGTTAGCTTGAAAGAAACAGGCAGTTGAAGTAGTTAGCGTGAAAGAAACAGAGACAGTTGAAGTAGCTAGCTTGAAAGAAACAGACAGTTGAAGTAGTTAGCTTGAAAGAAACAGACAGTTGAAGTAGTTAGCTTGAAAGAAACCGTTGAAGTAGTTAGCTTGAAAGAAACAGACAGTTGAAGTAGTTAGCTTGAAAGAAACAGACAGTTGAAGTAGTTAGCTTGAAAGAAACAGGCAGTTGAAGTAGTTAGCTTGAAAGAAACAGGCAGTTGAAGTAGTTAGCTTGAAAGAAACAGAGACAGTTGAAGTAGCTAGCTTGAAAGAAACCGTTAAAGTAGTTAGCTTGAAAGAAACAGACAGTTGAAGTAGTTGGCTTGAAAGAAACAAGCAGTTGAAGTAGTTAGCTTGAAAGAAACCGTTAAAGTAGTTAGCTTAAAATAAATAGAAACAGTTAATTCGCTAGCTAGTAGTTAGCTTGAACAACATTTGACTCAACACCTACCAAACCATGACCTTATCTTTAATTTAACCAAAAGATGTTGTACCTAACAGTGACCAAACGGCACTCAATGGAAACATTGGATCATTATGTCTTTGGTAGATGAAAGGGGACTTGAGCTCATCTGATGTTTGGGCATTTGCGACGAGAAATTCTTCACCTTGACACTGCTCCATATCCTTTTAATCATTTAAGGCAGAATTCACAATAGGAGTTATTTGATCTTATTCCTGTGTAACTCTCACTGTCCTGTGTTCAAATACAATACAAAAAAAGAACTTCCTCATTTTGCTGGCTCCCCCTTGACACCCTTCAAGGACCCTCTGAGGTCCTCAGACATCACATATCATTAAACTACAAAAAAAACTGCGAAAGAAATGGGGTTACAGCAGGAGGGTCTGCCTCTCTGCAGTGGTCCTTCCCCTCTTCTTTGTCTCCGCTGATTCCTCCCTGCAGGTGCACAAATGAAGAACAGACTCACTACATTGCTCCCCGGCTTTGTTTTAAGTGTAGGACTTGAAAGGCCTCAGACTCCCACCCTGTTAATTAGGCAATTGAGAGATCTGAGGCACAGGGGTAATTTGGGTTAAAACAGCAACGTGTGTCAAGCATTTAT